ACTACTTATACTTTTGATTAGGAGAACTGATGACGATATGCATCGCTACCAAATGCAGAATAGTTTTTTGTAGGTAAAACAGAGATGTGAAATTGTGAATATCGTTACTGGGTAAGCACAATAAGGAACCGCGGCCTCGGCCTAAATAGGAGAGGGAATGGGGGGTTTATAATCTATAGTCAGTAAGAGACTGAGACTCCTTCTCGCCATGGCATCGTAGTCCTCGGTGAAAGAAGTCTTTTGATGATAATACCCTCATAAAAAAGAAGTAAATATTAAATAACACATTTCAATACCTACCTATTGTAATTTCTTTGCATTATATTATGTATGTTCCTTATTACTACATATACCTAAGTACCTACAAATGCATGTCACACAGATGTACCCAGACAATGGATGTGGTAAATCCATTGAATACGCCCTTACTTCTTGTGTATACTGTAACAATAACTCTTCCTAGTTCACTTACGCACATTCCGATGGAATTGTACTATCTAGGTACTTGAATGAATCTGTGTTTAATGTAGGGGAACATTATGTCTTTCCGGATTTACGTCAATATTTAATACGCAAAACATGTGTTTAATATGAGTTTTCTGATTTCACAAGTAACTTTGGAATTAGTTAAAGCATATTACAGAATTATGTTTAACTACTGTTAAAAAGATAACTCGATTAGTTTCAAGCGACACTTGGAGTGCATATTCAAAAAAACATTGCGTGATGTTTCGACTAGCATGCTACTTTTGCTGCTAAAGCTGTTAGATATATTTGTTAATTTCATACCGAATCAAAGGTTACAATACAAAAATATTTAAAAGCTTTTATTATGGCAATCTTATAATAACAACTCTAAAGTTATTCTATTTTTAATACAGATCTTGTAACCATTAAAAGTTTACTTACAAACTAATAATAACTATATTTAAGAACCTGTCGTGATCAATTTTATAATAAGGCAAATAAATCTCGAAATGTTTCACAGCGGTTCTTGTGAAAGAGGGGAAATTGTTTATAAGAAGGAAAACTGTTTACCTTTTCCGCAATCAATTCTAACTTAACTATAGAATAAGAATTATTTAACCAATACGTTCATTGTATTACAATATAGTCGAGCAAATCGAATTATTAAAAAAATATATATATATTTACCTATCACTTTTTCACAGCTACAAAACACTAAAAACGGTATATGACACAGCACAGATGGCTCAATGGCGCAGTGCGTAATCCACTGATTCCATAACATCGGTCTATGTAAGAGTCGATTAGATCATTTAGGTGAAACTAGCATCCTGTCCGGGACTTTGTCCGCAAAACTTAAAGAAATATACAGAGATATTAAAAAAACCGCATGAAAATCTGTCGCGTAAGTTTAAAGATATAAATACATACAAACCAATAGTGGAAAACAACTTGTTTTATCCGATGTAGTACTTAATAGGCACACATGACAAAGAGGATTTTTACCAAAACATATTTGCTATATTAAAAAATGACAGAAATTAAACTATTTGGTTATGCAAAACACAAAACACGTGAAGGAGGTAAAAAAGGGTCATCTTAAACGTTGTCGTTAAAAACAGTTTAAGCATTATTTAGGTAGCAACAATAAGTCCCCTAAAGTAGTGAGTAGATAAGTTAAATCATTAGAATATTACGACTTCTTATGACTCTAACTAATGAGGCTAATTTTTCTGCGAAATAAGTATAGTGTCATGTTACAGTGCGTAATTATTTTCAACGTATTCCTGAGCACTTTTTCGGGGACTTTCAAAATTCCAATAAAGAGGTACCTACGGAAAAAGTTACCTGTCTACTTATTAAATCTTTTTCCCTTCACCTAAAACACTTTATTGGGGAATTGGATTGAATCAAATTGTAGAAGTTTTTGAGCGGGAAAAATCATTAAATCCTGGGCGTGAGTGTCAGACTCCCACTGGCTAAAAACCACCCAGTTCCTTCTATTGCTCCTGGCCGAGGCCGCGGTTCCTTAATTGCCCCCCGACCTCGGTGTGGTCCCGAGCTTGATAACCATTAGCGATACACACGTTCTCAGACGTTCTCGAATTGTGCGTATCTAATATCATACATGATCAACATAGGAATAGGTAGCAGCGGTAGATAGGTCAGGTATGTCTAGAAAGTATAGTCTAACCAAACACCTAAACACAATATGAAAAAGGCCATAAAAGTCTGTGATACACAAGTACTTAAGTAATGTAGACGAAAATAATATTAAACTAAAAATTTGAGAATCGTGTCCGTCTTAAAGCGCAATGACTTACTGCTTTCTGAGAGTAAATAATTTTGAATTTGTTTACAATGCACTTCAAAGCAGTAAATATAAAAGTACACCTTTTAAATATTTTCTGATTCCGTAAGCACAAATTGGTTACCATTTACATATACTTATTAGGAATTCCGTTTTATTTGATATGGCAGCCGTCGAGTGCCTATACGGCTGCCTGTGCGGGTCAAAAACATAAATTTATCGCGGCTTCGGCGTGGAGCAGGAGAAGAAAGGGTGGTTTTTAGTCAGGAAGAATTTGACCCTCCTTCTCGCTCGACCCAGGACGAGGGAAGAAAGTCATTTCATAACTTTCCTCTATCATCTCCCTAATATCGTAATTATTTTCTTTAAATCAGAAGAGAGGAGCATATAAGCGAAACCAAAATTGTAAATAAAAGCTACTTTACAATAATGAAAAATCGCAAATAAGAAATGTGGTCTAACCATGATTATATTTATAACTTTTGGCAGTATATACTTAACAGTAACTGTCATCAATAGTGCACTAAAAAGTAGACTACTTATACCTAATACTAAATACAAAGCTTGAAGTAATGCAAGGTACTTTACAAAGTACAGATAAAAATAGCTTTTTATTCGCGTCATTACTTGAGAATAGAAAACAAGCCTCCGTAAACAGGATCGACGTAATTCTGATGGCGCCGACACGAGACTTGTTGCGTGTAAAAAACGTGCAAAGCTATGTTTGTCCAATAACAGGGGTCCTGCGAGATATAAATAGAAGATAGTTCACACATTACTGTACCTAATAACGTTTACTTTCACGTACCAATGTATGGCCCTGAATATTTTGTTAGCTCACGGAATTTTGCATAACGGCAAATCCCTATCTGAGCATTTTTACTATAGTAAAGTTTGATATAAATCAACACGGCAACTGTTGGTCTAAGAACGGTGTTTTTGGTATCTTGATTAACGTGACATCTTGCACTAACTTTTAGAATTATGTAGAACGAGTCAAATATTTATTTATGCTGGCATCCTAGAAATTATAACAGCTGATTGTCGCTGCATACCTGTACGGTATTTTTCCTACGTCAGCCTACATTCTTTTTCTGTTATCAATTATGTTTTATTTGAATTATTAATATGAAGATTATAATATTATTTTTTCCGTGAAAAATCGTAGCCATTCTTATATGGTGCACGTAATAAAAACATACAATAAAATGTCGGTATGTTTATGTCCATACATTTCCATTGACAATAGGTAACATGTACAAGATGATCGTAATTGTGACATGTATTGTATAGTTATGGAATTACACTTCATTAATCATATAGAACGTAATTAATATTTCCTTTATAATGCATTATGTTTACTTGTATATATCTAGTTATTTAGTTAACAACCCTGTGGAGTGTTGATAAACATACAGTTCACTACAAAAAGTATTTATCGACATTGTGCTTATAATGGAGTCTATTTATTAATTTTAACACCTACTAAAGATTGTGGTGTGCTTTGTATTAATATTATAAGTTATTTTATACCAAAATAGCTACTTATACTGATGTGTGTAAAATGCAGCGGAAAATAGAATTAGTGTGTAACTGATTGTTGTACGTGACGTAAAAAATACTCGGACTCGGATTAGATGTTTTGCAGAATTGACTAAATCACCTTCCGGAGACTGACCTCGCGTGTCTGATTGTCACTGTCAAAGTCGCGGGTGGAAACCACGTGCACCTTACTAGCATATTATGGTGAGTCGAGCATTGATGAAATATAACTAAAAAATCCGATTCCAGCATCATATACCACACAAAATTTTCTCAATTTTCACCGAAAGATTGGCAGGGGTGGACTTCCTTGTTTACATAAGCTTTTCGCGACTTCTGAAGAAGGGTTTAGTTTTTAATCTTTCTGTAGAAACTTTATGTAGAATCGTACAATAAAAGTACTTTGGCAGTCTTCTGTACGATTCTCTTTCGAACTACGAGTTTAATATAATATTTGAATAAAATAATTACTTACAAATATAAACATATTGAAAAGACAAAGTTAACAGAAAATATTCAGGAAGATATTGCGGGTAATATACGTGATCGTCATTACAGAAAATTATTTCTTCATTTATGTAGTAACTACTCTTATAACTATGATACCAACATCGATCAAAGTAAACAAACGACGGTTTTTTTAATAATCAGCGAAAAGTTTAAATCTTTGCAGTAATATTTTAGGTATTATATAATAAAGGATCACCCAGTTGTAGTAATAAAAAGAATCAATAGATATAATATTTATTTATATATTTATAGCTAGAGATAATATAATTAATGTTTTAATTTTATGACTTAATTGCCTTAGAACGTTCGTTGCTAAGTCGGAAAAGGGTAATTAATTGAAAAATTTGTTACAAATTAAAAGTAAACTAAAACAGTTTCTATTTGATTAACATCATAAGACCATTGATTCATTGAACAATTTCACTTCTCTACTGCCCATAAAATTAATTGGAAAATCTTAAACGTAGATGACTTATGTTAGGTTTGATTTGACCACGACAATCATGTTTTTTTCGGTTTATAAATATAATATATCCCTCTTTTATTATCAATACTTCATTTTATTATCTAACACCGGCGGTAGATTTAAAGTTATAAAAAAAACTGGTGTCATAAATAAATATAAGTGTAAACACATTATTGTTAACACGAACATGAAAGGGGTACTTACCAAAGAATTTTATAAATATCACTGCCATTTTTTAAAACTTGAAATAAAATGTTTAAACCAATGTATCACAAGTCAACCGTCACTCTAGAATACGACCATGTTTCCAATAAAACGGTACTAGGCAGATTGGTGGTGGCGGGCAGCGTACAGGCCGCGGCGGCAGGCGACTGCGGAATAAATAAGTGGCTACGACGGCCGCCGACCGACCCGCAGACCACGGCCCACGAATATTGTTTCATCAACAACCCGGGGAGGCTTCACGTCTCACTATCGCCGCACTTCCGCCGTGACAAACCTAACGCTAACACATTACTTACGGATGTTTTTGCGCGCAATTGCTCGCTACGTTAGATATGCGCATTGTTACAATTTATATTTTCTGAATGCAATTACAGAACGTCATACCGAGGGTGCTTCTAGATAGATACAGGATCTTTTACATAGATAGGACAAGATTATTTAGCTATCTGGTACTAAATACCTTATAAGCTTAAATCAAGTGGAAACCTCTTTAATTGTCATCAGAGTTTCCTTGAATGTTGTCTTCTGACACTCCGATTTTCGTAGTACTATGGTAGCAAAGAGATAAAAAAACATATTTCTAAACCGATGAAGCTATCTAATAATACCATTTGTTGCATATTTTTTTACTTTTGTAGTGTCTAATATAAATATCAACTATTATTTTCTTTTTATTGGGGGTTTCAAAGAAATATAAAAAAATCGTATTATAATCTGTTTTTTGACTAGCTACCCAGATATTCGCATGATTGCCAGTTTCGTCTTAAAATCGATTAGGTACTACCTCAGAATACATTGTTCTGTATTCTGAGGGTACTACTTAAGCGGGCAAATGTGACAGAATATCCATTTTTCAGTAAAATTCTGGATTTTTCAGGAATTTTAACGTAAGTTTAAAAATTTATAACGTATGATTACGCAGTTTGATATTTATAAATAAATTCTGACTTGAACTTAACACTTAAGAATTACCTACATACATATACAGGGACAAATCCGCCATCACCTTACTTGCAATGACTTCTCCCACATCTTCAAAACAGGCTAGTCTTTGTTTAGCAGTAAATTAACGATGACTGTAAAAATAATTCCATTCTCAGACGGAGTGAAAATTGTAATTTTATTGATGCAAAAATACCTATTCCTGTGAATAAATGTAATGCAATCAGTTACACAAATACGTATTGCGATACCATTTCGTCATTGCAATCTCAATAATTGCAAAATGTTATTGATTCAGGGGTTCAGTATTGTATTCACAGGGCTGTTTTTTGTTTAAAAATCTACGTTGCTTCAGCTATTTACCATTTACGGAGCCCGTGAACGGTTCAACACTATCATCCAAGCTGCTACTACTTATTTGCTATGCTAGGTACTTGGACGTGTCTACAAGCCTTCTACTCATATGCTCAACAATGACTGTGTATATGATACGCTACAACTACGCAGCGCCTACGCTACTACAATGCGCTTGCTATACTACACATTCGCTACGAAGCATCTAAAGCTATACTCGTACTAGTTATAATGCTACGCTACTACTACCTACGCGTCTGCTATTTATAAGCTACGCGACTGTTACGCAACTTCTATGCACCCTTCTGTATATGTATACTGCGGTACTACGCGTGTACTACGCTGTTACTACATGTCTGCTATGATAATACTACGATTTTTTTCCATTTCTTTGTTGCTCCTGCTATTTGTTATAACACATCTATCATACATGATAAAGAAAACTTACACCGTGCGTGCTATGGAACCATGACGCTTCCACCGCGGAGCTAGGACGGACTTATGTATTTGTCTACAATGCGACCTAAGTAAGACATCAACGCAAGGTCAAAATTGTAAACTCGTTTGCTTTTTGGAGACAGACTCTTATTCAGTAAATATAATTTTCTGTTCAGGGGTTGGTCTTTAAGGTCTTAAATATGCTATGAATTATGAATGTTTCTTGTGTAACTATCGCCCTCTGAGTTGTTAAACTTAATAAAATGTTACTACAATCGACTCGATAAATAAATAACAGATGATGAGAGACTCCTTATATCACGGGTACAAAAAACTGTGCAAAAACCTTCGTTCCTATAAGTTATAACTAATAGTCGTACAAAAAAACCTTATACATATTTTGTTTCGAGGAACTTCAATGAGATAAGTTCTTTGACACGTGTGCTAGAGGAAAAAAGTACATAGTACCTAATTACTCGTCTTGAAATGTTAAAAAATCCATCTTCATACAACTATGCCACATAATATATTCGAGAGAGAGAGATAAAATATGCTATAAATCTACCGTCCCTGTCTACCTGTAGCATTTTGAAAATCTAATGTTTTTTTACAATATAAATATATATTGGAACAGAGTTCCTTATTTATCATGTAAAAGCACTATAGAGGCTCAATTACAGCCATACTCTGCTGGCTGGCAATACACTTGTAACTCCTTTGGTGTTGCAGGTTTTCAGACAGGGCGCTGACTACTTAGCATCAGGAAAGAAGGCCGGTTGGCCAACCTATCTCATAAAAAAAAGAAATGTAGAAAATCGAAAAAAGCAGCTGAAAATCAGGAAGTAGCGACCCTTTCATCGGTAAGTACAGAGGTAGTTGGAATTTGGATCCCTTGCAAATCAGAGGCGGGCTACTAGTTTTCTTACATAACAGAAATTACATAACTAATAAATTTTCCTAATTCGTTTCTATACTATTGATACTGTATAATAAGCAGCACAAGTTTTTATTGACTAGATTAGTCCTTGCAAGTCACGTGTCTAAATTGTATTAGAACCTCGTGAGTTATGAGGAACTAGCAAAAAAGGCCTATGTAGGTATGTTAACCGACTTGTTTTAGTTCGATTTATGAAAACCAGTAATTAATAGGCTTAATTATACTACAAATGCTTCCTGTTTATTCCCAAAAGCAAAAAATAATACGTAAAGTTGTGCTTCGTCCTAAATAACAAGTACATTAAAGGTACATAGACCGATGAATAAAAGTTTAGTTATTTTTCAATATTTTGTTTACTTACCATAACCCAATTACCCAATTACTGTCATAGTAGATACCTACTTTCAATAGTTACCTTATTACGTACTTCCAAAGTAAATTTTTACAACTATTGTTTTATTCGTCGTATTTTACAATTTAGTAGTAGTCCGGGTTTTCATTAAAATGTTAATACCCAAAAAAAATCTCCATAATCCTTTAAAATTTAGGATGGTCGAACTCGTCACGTCGCGTCACCTAATGAGGCCTTTGTATGGATTTCCGCAAAGTAACGCCTGGTTATTCTTTACTATATAATCAATCTCGGTGTCGTCAAATAAAATAATTAAAGACACAAAGTTCCAAAGTGTTAGTCTGCTGGTCAGACACATAGAATCGCTCGTGACCCAACATTTTTTTAAACCTCACTAGAACTTCCTTTTTCTAAACTTTGTGGATGCGTGATACTTTACTACATAGTTACACCTAACATACCTCTGCTGTCGAGCCTTGAGTCGTGTATGCATTCCGTTTAGCATATGTAAGTTTTGCTTCAAAATAATTCAGAAACCTTCCAAGAATAAATATTTTATTGCCGGGAAGCTACAGGTACCTACTATTACCCGGTGAACATCCTACTACCGTGCTTCCTACTATCATACTAATATTATAAATTTGAAAGTTTGTGAGAAAATATGGATGTATGTTTTGTTAATTTGGTATGTAAATAGAGACCCTGGACACATAGGCTATTTTTTATCATCATACTAAACAAGCCGCGGACGGACACAGTTGGCTATAAAATACGCGAGTAAAACCGCGAGGCACAGCTAGTGACAAATATCTCAAAATTCAAAGCAATCAAAAAATATTTATTACCTTGTAACTCAGACAGACATCATTTAAGACTATCGTCAATCAAAGTTCTTTGCCAAATAGATACACGTACCTATTTAAGAATTATGTCTGTTATAAAGTTAGAAAATGTAAGCTACATTACACTATTTTCCGACAAATGTTGAACTTGTATGACGCTTCTATATAGGCAACGTTTTTCTGCAATGTGTGGCTTACCATTTAGAGAATGATTAAAAAATTACAGTGGGCCATACCTACCTACTAAAAATGCTTGGGCCAACTAATTATTTATGGAAGAACTTTCTTCGCTTCGGCACGAATCAGCAGGCAGAATTGGCGGCAAAAGTGACCATAGCCACAGGAGTGTTTCGCCAAATTATGAGGGGGTCGGATATTTCAAATATGACCCTCAAAAGACTGAAAACTCACTTATAGCTTTTCTGTCCGAGGGCGGCGCCTATTCTTACCGTTAGGTGTACCGTCAGATGGTTTGCCGACCTATCACATAAAACATAAAATTATAATTGGCTTTGATAGATAGACGATTATAATTCAATTAGGTTTGCAATACTTATTTTATTTCTCTCTCAATTTTGTCTGTGCCTGTGACTATTGATTTATTTCAATTTTTAGCTTTTATTTGGCCCCTAATATACCTTTTATTCATCTTTGGCCTGAGGATTGAGACATTTAATTCAAAATGTAGTGCATGATGTGCTTACCTGTAAGAGTTTGATACACTTGATTCGATTTGATTCAATGTAACCCATAATTGTAAGAGTGTACTCAATTGTTGGTAAGCCAAATAAATAAATATGGACGGCCAGGGACGGCCGAAGACTATCAGACTGCAGCTTTGTAGTTTGTACCGTGCCGTACATAATATTACTTTATTACTAAACTCATTCAAAAGACGCGCCAAAATGAATTGCCAATTTAAAATCATTTTTGATTATGGTAGTATTTTGTAATAATGAATTTGATATTTTATTTATTTTATAGAAGTTGTACGCTTACAAACCTTTTTTGTTTATTTTATAATCATTTAGGCAGTTCCATAAGTCAAAAAAGTTTTTTTAAGTTAATGTAAACCTAATTTAAAGATGTTTGTTTAAGAAAAATAAACGTCGATAACGCAGCATCTCTTCCAGCTGGCAAAGCTGAAAGACGTTGGCAACACCTCTGTTCAACAGTGCATGTGCTGAATAAAGTACTTATTGTGACTTTGTGACAGTACCTGACACGATAATGATGATTAACGTAGAAACAAATTCAATATTTACTTTGGTAAAGTAATATTTTAGGTATTGGCGATGCAAAGATTATCCGCATGCCTCTAGCGGCAAAATTCAGAAACTGCCTAAGAACGACACTTTGTTTATTCAATTTTATTGAAGTTATGTTAGATTTTTATTAGAATTATTCAGATGGA